GCGCTACTCAGCGGCCGATGTTGATTCAATTTGCAGTTGAGAGTGTAATTCTTCCCCCCGACGGCCGAGAGGAGCCCTCTCGGGCCATCGAGGTGTATACCCTCGACGGCTGAGAGGTACACCCTCGGCAATTGAGAGTGTACTCTCAGCGGCCGAGGTGTTTTCCCTCGGCCGTCGGGAGTGTACTCCCAGCGGCCGGGCAGATTCCTCCCGGCCGCTTTGGTGGGTCTTTTGCTTCGTCGACCCCCAAACCCTGGTCGGTTTTGGAGGATCGACTCCTAAACCGACCGGGGGATGGCTTTTTTTTTATTTTTATTTTTTGGGAGTCGACTCCCAAACCAGTCTAAGGTTTTGGGGGTTCGACTCCCAAAATTCGGGGATTCCGGGGCTTGGGAGTCGGCTCTCCACTTTTTGGGAGTCGTTTAACCAAGCCCCTAAATTTATTTCCCACACTTTAAGACATGAGTAAAATGATGGTAATAACCATTTTGCATAAAACCCAAAGACTGTTATTGAATTCTGTGTTGGACATGTTTTTTTTTAATGTTTTTTTGATTGGTTTTAACCGGCTGGATTTTAATCATTTTTCAAAATTTTAAATTCATTTCCTACATTTAAAGATGTGTAGAATTGAATGGTGAATTCCAATTTTGATAAAAATACAAGCTTCAATTATAATACGTCCTGTTTCTTGCATAATTTGTACTGTATACAAATTGTATTTGAATGCAAAATGGATAAAGCCATCAACTTTGAAACATTTCAAAGTGTAGGAAATGAGCTTAAAATTCCAAAAAATAAGGGTAATTAAGCGTGTAAGAATTAATTCAAAAAATATGTCCAACGCAGTATTCAATAACAATCTTTGGTTTTTATGCAAAATTATTGATACCATCAACGGTGGGCCGCTACGCTACACTACGCTATTTGACCACTAACTGTTAGTGTAGCGGCCTTTTTTTTCTCTATAAGATCTGTAGTGTTAGCGCACGCTAAACACCGCTGAGCTAACTGCCAGCGTAGCGTGAAATTTTTATCTCAAATTTTCTGTAGTGTTAGCTTCAAATAATCACCGCTAAACTAACAGGTAGTGTAACTTTCTTTTCACTAACAAAATTTTGACTAACAGATAGCGTAACTGAGTTGACGCTAACATTTAGCGTAACTGGTCCCACACTTTGCTACACTATATTTTAAGCTACACTACACAATGGTGGACAAATGAAAAATTACAAGTGAGAAAACAACACAAATGCATGCCTTGAGGTGGAATTGAACACTTGACATGACAGGTTAGTAGCATCTCCAGACATCCTCCTTGTCCACATGACTAGCAGTACATGAGGAATGGCTCGGTGAGTTGAGGTTCAGTCAGCAAGAGGATGTCATGGACATGCCTGTGACATGTTCACTCCCTGGGCTCTGAGTTTGAACTTGAAGTTTGAAGCGGGGCTCCTTCAGACTAAGGAGAACTAGACGCGGAGTCGCGCTGAAGACGAAGATGAACCTGAGATGCTCTCTGGATTTCGATGAGAAGAGAAAGAGAGCGGGGAGAACCCCTACAACAGAGGCCTTTTAATAGGCCTCGATGACAAACAAGGGGTGAAACACAAAGAGAACAGAACACATGGGCAGAGGCCTGGACTAAACTAGTACAGGACAAACCCCTGTGGCTAGAAGATGACGAGAGAGATGTAGGACCGTAACTCCGGTTCTGTAGCCTCTCTCGGCATGGAAGAAGTGCGCCTCCTTGCTTCCGCTAGGAGGCTCACGTGAATGAAGGGCCGGTACAGGTGTATCCGGCCTATCTACCTGTAGCCCTGCTACAACATCCCCCCCCTTAGGCGGGGGCTGTCCCAGACCCTGTCGGCGGTGGTCCTAACCGGAGCACGAGCCGCCTGGCCGGCCGCTGTGCCGGGAGCTGTTGACTAGCTGAAACTGGTGCCCCGGCCACAGCCGGGGGTTTTTTCTTTACCTTGGCCAAAGTTTTGGCCTTCTTGATCAAACTACGGGCCACGCGAGCGTCCGCTTGCTTTTCCCTCAAGGCAATCGCCGGGGGTGGGGCCCACATGTCGTTGGCAATGATCGATCTAAGAGCTACCGGGCGGAGATTGTTTCCGTTGACCGGTCGAGGGTATTCTACGCCCTCATGGTCGACAATAATGTACACATTATTGTCTCGGACCTGAGTGATCTCAAATGGTCCAAACCATCTCGGTTGACCTTTCTTGTGTTTTTCATTTCGCAGTTTAACTGACTGCCCTACAACCAACGCGTTCAGATCTCTAGCAAAGGTAGTCTTGCCATCAAAGGCTTCCTTGTTTTTTAAGGCCTTCACGGCCGTATTACCAGCCGCGGTTGTACGAGTCTTATTCAGCTCCGTCAAGCGACTTTTAAGCTCGTCCGCACCGGGCACTACTGGCTCAGCGGCAATGATCCGTTTACGATCCTGCGGCAGCCGTGGTTTACACCCATAGAGTAGCTCAAATGGAGAGTAGCCACTGCTGTCACTAACATGAATCCTAGTCGAGAACAGAGCCGCGGGGAAAACATCCTCCCATTTGGAGGGGTCCCCCGTCGTATTCAGGCGGAAAATAGCCTTCTCCAAGATACCGTTGTATCTCTCATTCTTCCCGTTCGTCTGAGGGTGGTACCCCGACGTCCGGACTGACTTCATTCCGACGGCGACCAAGAATTTTTGGAAACCCGCCGAGAGGTAGTTGGAACCTCGGTCTGTGAGGAATTCTTTTGGGGCCCCAAAGGGCATTACTACGTGCTCGAAGATGGCCTCGGCCAGTTTGTCCGCTGTCGCTTCTTCAACGGGACCGCTATGGGC